TTTGCCTCCAAGAAATGAGCAAAAACGGGACAGAAAACATGAAATTTTGGCATAATCTTGCACCTAAGTGTGTGATATTCAAATTTCGCTTTCTGAGTCAAAACTACTCGAAGTGCCTCACTCACGTTACGACTGAATCGACTTTTCAATTCTCTATCCAACGATGCCAAAACGAATTCTGTGGCTCAAATGATTCTTGAGAAACGTCGAAAAAAGCAGCGTTATGTTCAAGTGGATTTTGCAAATGAAAAAAAGAACCACGCAAATCTGAAACTTCTTGAATTCAAGCATTTTTTGAGAAAACTGCCAACAATTCCCTATCCAGGGTTCACTTTCTAAAAAGGTCATTTATTTCTCTCTAGTTTGCTTCGAGCTAAAAATTGCAACTTATAATTGTTAGACTCGGATTGTTCTTCATTAATGTTGCTGAAGACTTTCATGTTAGTTTTCATATCCGTCCCAGTTTATTAACTCAGGTAGTTGCTTTCTAAACACCATGTGTGCAACCACTTAATATGCTTTGGCGCAAAATGACTTTGTCTAGAGTCTAGACCATTTCATCAAATGCAAGTGCTGTCCGGGAGGCCTGCATTGGATCCTTAAGTCGCCGCAATTTGACCACCAGAACAAAAAAGATGCCTACTAAAATAACACATTATTATTTCTTCATCATAATGACTATGGAGAGATGCTCGGCAGTTGGTACAGCCTGGTCAGAACGGCGTCATCGACGATGGGCACTCTGTTCGAAGTTGCTCTTAATGAAGACATCAACAAGACAGGTTGCGCCTATGGCGGCCCAAGTACGCCCCCTTGCCCCTTCATGTTCTCAGGACCGAACTTGATCATTACACACCCTAATTTTTAATGGTAGCAAAACGAACGTTGTGGTATTCAGCAAATACTTAACTGTGCAATGAGAATCAAATTGCAGAATTTTGGGAATTTTTTTCAACATTTAATCAGGAATGTTTTGCAAATCCACAAAACCAGCGATTGCCACTTGCTTCTGAACTTTTTCACTGCGTGTATCAACAGTTCTTTCAGGTACTTACCTAATTTCAAAATTGAACACTAATCCCGTATAATGCCAAATGCAACCCCTGAACCGGGCTAATCAACCATGTTCTTATTTCCACTGTTATGTTATTAACGCAAATCTCAAGTTGCTAAACACTCCTCTCTCCTCTTTCTCCAAATTCTGATAAATTATGCAAGCGTGAATGTTGAAAACCCGTGGCTTCAATTTTTCGGGAAGTTCCTTAAGAATATATCTAGGATATTACTATTTTCCACAGGATGAATAGGTAGATTTGTTCTTAAAGCATTCTTCTGACTTTCCAAAGCTATTTTTTTTTCATGTATTTTGAAATTGGAAATGTAGAATATAAACCGTGTATCGGGAACTTCAAACATGGAATGCCAATTGTTTGAGCTTTTGGTTGAAAACAAATCTTGTATTCTGTTTTGACGCTCTTCTAGAAACTATAGAAGCTGAATTTTTCTTTTCCAAATATTTGTGGGTCGTCGATTTTCTGGTCTTCCTAAACAGTGCGCTTAAGTGTTTTCTTTAACTCAACATCAAGCCAACAAGAGCAGATATTCTGTTGAGTAAATTTTTGAAAGTCCGACCTAAACTACACACGCGGTTTTCACTACCTCGCACTTGTTTTTAAATTTTTGGAAATATGTCTTTAATAATGATTATGATCAAGAAATGTAATTTTCATGTTTGCTATAAGGTTTAAAATTAAACCATTTAAATAATTGTTCGTTAAAATCTCTTATGGAAAATTATCTTTACTGTACAATTTTATATATTCCGAGTGTCTACTGGCCAAAGTCATCTATGGTAGAAATAGAAGGTCCGGTTCTGACGAAAATAATCTGTTCATTTTTGGCCGGCAGGCAAGCAAGAAAAAGCAACGTAACATTAACCAGATTGCTTCGGTTACTTTCAGATTGCCGTAATGATCAGCAAGGCGATTATTGGTCCCCGCGGCAATTTATTCTGAGATTTTAAAAAAGTCTTTGAAGGAACGCCACTTTAATTAATTTCAGCTGCAGAGAGACCAACGAACTACTATTTCAGTACAATTATTATTCGCTGTGCCATTTAAATCTGTTAGTTTTATTCACTGTTAGCTTGAAAACTTAACATTATGTGTCGCTTCTTTTTTACAATATTTTCCTGGTGTTTATTATTTCTCCGCTTCATGCTGGAATGAATGATGACTTTGAATGCACATAAATCTGATGACATATACCCAATAGAAATATTATTTTGAAAAATTTAGAACTTCTACATATATGCATTTCGAGGATTATTAATATTTGTGCGCTCCTAAACAGTTAGCATTTGCAACAAAAAACCTGTCCAGATATTAAGAAATAAGAACAATTTTAGTACATAATTAACCTACTTCTTTATATTTTCAATTAATCACTATTTTTTCACTGCAATTAGATACTTGTACAAGTTGACTATTAAGTATCATCGTTTTTCTGCAAATTTTATTGCTTTTTGTTTTTAGAATATCAATACCCTATACCTATTAATAGAATAATAATATTAATTATTAACAACCCGAGAAGCATTTTGGGGTGCCACACCTTTCTCATCAATCAATCAATCATGATTTTATTATATAAAATGAATTATTTTATTGTGCCTTTTTTCAACCGGAGTTTGTTGGTTTATTGGTTCCAAAAAAATGTCTATGAATAACGCTCAATACACTTTTGAGTAACGTTGAAAAAGGACTAAACTTTGCACGCAATATGTAAATGATGCTTTTTAAATGTGAGATCCTGTATATAAGGTGATTTCTTTAACTTGAA